ATATATATATATATGTATATGTGACTCGCGCTGTTATCGACGTACGCGCCATTTCGCAATATAATTTACACAAAAATTACTGTACAGTATATATTAGCCGTTCTCGTACTCTCTCCTCTTTCGAGCATACATCCGCGCTTCAGTTACACGCACACGAGGAAATTTTATCACACTTGTTACGCTTTTCATAACTTTTACCCCGCGTTTTGTCGTCATCATCGTTGGGGAGGGAGGGAGGGAGGGGGGGGAGGGGGCGACACAGGACCAAGTACTAAGAGTTTGGGGATTTGGATATTATAAAGTAAGAAAAAAAAAAAAAAGAAACACAAAGGAGAAAAGATCACTTCAAACATTGCAAAATTAAAGGAACATAGGAAGTCACGCGCTACGATTATAAGTAACGATCACATGTTGCGATCACTAAATGCCTCGACTGCCTTCGTCTTCTCAGAACCATGGTATGCGCGCCGGACGAATCTGTCGGACGCGAAATTGGATCCTTCTTATCGTCCATCCGCGCGTGCCAATTTCGCTTTCAACGTATGATATGACGTATGATATCAGATATTAGGGCTATCCTATTCCACTATCTAATGATATGCATGTCTCTCTCTCTCGTTATCGAATCTAGACATGTGTCTGCGACAATAGGTTTAACGTTCTGTATCATTAAATGTTATAGCAATTAGATTAGCAGAAAAAAAAAGAAAATTGAACATAGAACACAGAAAGAATACTAAATCCCCTTGTAATATCTATACATACAATTTACTGTTTACTGTATGTTTTAGATTATAACAAAGATGATGTTGTACAAACTATATCGGATGATATAGCTTTTGTATTATATCTGTTTCTGCGGCAATACAATAGCTCCATGGGAAGACGAAAATGGCTGCGGAGGAGTTTCGAGTTCGAGGGATCCATTATCGTCTTTGTGACAGAAAGCGAAGCAACTGAGAAGCCCGACAGGCAGTATGTCTGCCGTGGTTAACCGCTAATTGATTCCGCCTCACAGACCACTCGCATCGCTATTTTGTCGGCTGACCGTGTCGCGACCGATCTCGATATAAATTTATACTTTGGTATACAAATACGTAACCTAATCACGCGTATATAAACGCCATTCCGTACGGTTGTGTCCTTCAACGAGCTGGCTCGCGTCGAAAACTATTGTATCACTTTAGAGAATCATGACCTTGTCTTTATTCTCTCTCTGCATTGAAGGTCTGTGTACAATATATGATAAAATATATGTACAATACACGCAATCAGGTACAATAGTAGCGTATGGAGATTGATCGGTTTAGTCTCTAGGAAGATGGGCAGATAGACGGACAAGAGGATTGAGGAACAGGATGTAAAACAGAAAGAGAGAGAGAGAACAAAGATCTTTTTCATCATATTTCACAAGATCGCCAATTTAGTTTCAACTTACACAGAATGTCCCATAATTCACGGACCATCTCTTATAGCAACAAGTGGATTGTAAAGCAAATAAAAATCTTCTATTATTTTGCAACTTTCGCAATAATTAAAAAAATAATAAAAATCTACAAAGCATATGTTTATAGAAGACTGAATAACTGCAGCAAAAAGAAATTATCCAGTTATGCGCTATCGATAATTATTATTGCTATAAGGCATTTTTTCAAATATCTTGCATTTTCTTTCCTAGCACATTGATTTTTATTATTTTCTCATTTTTGCAAGTTGTAAAATAATAAAGAATTCTTTTATTCAGTTCAATTCGTTCTACTTGCTCATGAGAGCAAAATATAATTTGCATAAGAGAACATAATTTGCTAATCCGCAAATTATGATACACAGCAAGTTTACGAAACGATTTTTGATTGAGACATTCATTTCAACGCGAGAAAATTGTATATTTGGTCTATTTGATCAGCAGATCTGTAGAAATTGACGGAAATGAATTAGTACAGAGTCCTAACAGACGGATCACCCGTTCGTTTTCGCGCAAGACACAGTAATAATTGAGACAAGGAAAACGGGCGTTAGCGGAAACGACCCGCTAGGACAATAAACTGTATCCCGTATTTCTCTTTCTGACGACTGGCGGATGGTCGCTACGGCTACGTTTGGTACGTTCGATTCTAGTAGCCGGTGACGCCATCGTAATGACTATTGGTCCGCTTGCTCGCTGGTCTCCTCATTGTCAGATACCGATGTTGACGGCGTCCTATCGTGGTTCGTGCAGGTCTCTGCCTGACGCTTGCTATTAGCAATCTCCAACCAATGTTGTTTATTTATAGTGACCCCTTCGACGAGAGGCACAAGTTTGTCCGATAGATGGGCGAACGCCTGTCAAGATAAATGTATGAAAAGATGACTCGAAGTTTTAATAAAAAGAAGTAGTTTCGTCATACTGCTCACCTCATAGATGGGTAAACAAATAGAATCAATGAAGCCGACTTGCATTATCGGTAACTGGTCCTCTTTTTCTCGATTCATAATGTCCTACAATACGAAAAACAGACGCGTTTATATGGGAATCTTTTTAAATGTATCTAAGTTGTGTTTCTTTAACGCTACTCACAATAGGCGTAATGTTGAGCGTCCGCCTTTCTATGTCTCCTTGTTCGAAAAACTCGCTACTGACAAGCTCAGCCACTCTCTTTTCGACTTCCCACGGTTTCGTGATGGCAGCTAGATCGCAGACTGTCATCAGCATCCCCCGTAGAAGCTCTCGATGATCGCTAAATGCCCAGTTATAACCACCGCTGCGTGCTAGATTAAGAAAAGCGCCGCGTTTCCTGAAATAAACAGCCAGATCCGTAGAAAGAATCGCTTCTTCGAGAACTTTTACTACGCGCGAATAATCTTCTGGCGAAAGATTTGATAGTATTTGATTGCCTTGGCTGCTCAAGATCATCAAACACTGATCGAAATGATGATGCTCCATCGTTGAGGTCGAATATAACTGTGCCAGTGGCGATGAGGCTCTAAAGACAAAGAAATAGTATCTCATATAAATAGAAAATTCATCTTAATAAAATAAAAAACGTAAATAAATTTAATAAACGTAAATAAATTTTAAACTAGTAAGTAAAAGTACTCACTTAATTTGGAAAGAATTGTTTGTTCCACGATGATCGAGATCGTGACATAAGCAAGCAATGATAAGCGCGAGACATTCAATTTCACCAAAGATCTTCCACCATTGCGTAGCCTAGACATTGCAATTGCAAAATTATATTATACATTTATTTCACAAATTACGATCAATATCGCGATAAAAAAAAGACTTACCGTCAAAATAGCAAACATCATTTGGGCCACGTTAAAGGCATGTCGCCAATTGTGATACGTAACGTTTCTATAATTCTTCTTCACGCTCAACAACCAACGACAAAGTACATCATAATCGATGTGAAATCGTTCGACAAAATCCAAATCGAGAAACATCCTGAGACACGCCGTGAGAGTTTCGTCATCTTCCATGTGTATATCATCAAATTTGAAGTCATGTAATTGAAAATGCGCTGATGATGGAACCCTTAAACTCTATCACGGGACAGCAAATAAATAAACGCAAACTTTATCACGGGACAGCAAATAAATATTTATTGATTCAAAAGTTACGATCGAGACGTGAAAATGAAAATTACTAACCCTCAATCTCTGCGCGTCCTCCAACGACGCCGATGCATGGTAACTTAGTACTTCTAAAGTGACGCTTTGTTTCGCCATCGCTATCACAGCCTTCTCATACCTGAAGATCCGAAAAGTCAAGTCAAACGTTCATGACAAATTTGAAATATAAATATACTTACATATGCGTATTATGAATTCCCATTCCGCAGAAAATCGCGAACGCCTCGACGAAATTCTCATCATTCTTCGTGAAAGGTAAATCGTCGAATTTATTAATCAGCTGAATAACACCGATTATCTGACCGGACGAATTCTTGATGGCCATACAAAGAATTGTGCGATGTCTAAAGCCGGTGCCGTCGTCCACCAACGGATCGAATCTAGGATCTTCGTAAGCGTTCGGTATATTGACAGTCTGGAAGATCGTTCTTATATCGTTTCGGGCATTAAAAAATTTTAAAAGAAATTATTAATCAAGCGATACTCACTTCACCGGTTGTTGCTACATAACCCGTGATGCCAACGTTAATAGGAAATCTACTTTCGTAAGGACTGCAAAAAGAGAAGAAGTTATTAAATCTCCAGGATTAATTTTATCAAAAAAAAAACGGCAAGATATAATTACAAACTTGATTCACCTAGTGCGAGAATCAGAATCCTCGCCAGCGAGATCGTTCGCTTCGAAGTCGAAGACACGCGAGAAACTCCCCTTTGAAGCTTTGTGCACGAGCAACACCTGAAAACAATCATGATTTTGTAATCGCGCTCCTTCACTCGCATAATTGCGTTTTCCTCGCGGTGATCGTTTATGTTCATTACCTGAACACGTTGGCATTGAATCAACGATTGCGTGTGCGTAAGAATTCTAAAAACCATATGCTCTATCGTGCTTTGTTCCTCAAAAATCATTCTAGCCAAATCTAGTAGAACCTAGTGTATTAATAATAAAGTATTAATATCAAGACGAATTCTTTTTGCCATTTGAATCGATTCGACGAAATCGATGCTCACCTGATTTCTCTTCACTTCCAATTGGCTCTTTTCATAAAGTTGCGCGTTTCTTAGACCAATACCGCAGAACTGTAAGTAACCGGCAAAGATCTTCTCGTCCTGTGCGGTGAACTGTCCCTCACCACCGAGCTTGTTGATCACCTGTGCTACTCCGATTACATCACCATTGCAATCCTTGATAGGCATGCATAGTAAGGCACGCGTACGGTAACCCGTTAAAGCGTCAATTTCGCGATTAAACCTCGAATCCTGAAACGTTTAAATTATTTGTTAATTCGTAGATATTGTATACGTGACGACTGAAATATCTCCGAATACGCAACGAAGGTAAATAATAGCGCGATTCTTCAAAATTATTTCTTACAAAATTAGTAATTAATAATCGAGATAAAGATAAGATCGTCACCCGTGCAACAGATAAGACATACTCGTGCACTCGTGTTTACAACAAAGGCGATCGCATTTCAGATTCAAACAAATCGTGATTCATCGAGAATTCCCGATGTTTTATAATCAACCAGGTGCAACGCGCATTGGTGTGGTTTTTCATTAGATGGAAAAGATAGGCAAAGGAGTGTCAACCGTTCGATTACGAATGGTAATTCCAAGTCTTACCTGGTAAGCATCCGGTATGTTGACGGGTTCCCCACTCTCAGCGACGTATCCGACGATCCCGGTGCCCCAGGGAATCTTAATCTCATCTTTCTTCTCCATCTCTAGCAATGTCGATCTCGAGCAAACATCGAATAGCTTCGACACCAGACACCTGCTCCTCGAATAGGATTGGTCGTTACGCTGCAAGTTGCTTCCATCGTCGGAGTTGCTCACGGCAGCCTCGTGATTCGAGGGCATCGACGCGTTGATGTTGGCGGCTGCGGCGGCTCCGCTTCTCTCCCCCTGGACGAGGAAGAGCGAGCCACGATCCGCGTGAAGGAGCGTGCTCACATTCTGCAGGATCTTGTGGCACAACGATCTCACGTCCAACTCATTGCAAATATCCTTGACCTGTAGAAATCTTACGGAAAGTTAAGACTCTTCAAGGTGGAGGCTAGAGCAGTCTCGGATATTTACTCGGATTTTCAAGAACCTACCAGTTCGAAAATGAGATCCTTTTCGTCCAGATGTCTGAGCTCGTGTCTCGACCGTCTCTGCGGGCGATTCGAGCTGGCAGATCCGCAGATCTGCGACCCGCCCGGCTGACCCACGTCGCCCGTCGATACGCTGAGGAAGGTCGGCGTGCCGTCGATCGTGTTGACGATCGGCTTCAGAAGGCCCCCGCGCTCGAATTCATGCGCCGAGATTTTGCGCACGGGCGTCGTGGCTCCCGAGCCACCGGCACCACCTCGTCCGGAGGACGAATTGCCGGCCGCGGCGTGGGTCGGGCTCGACAACTCCACGCAGCTGCTCGACGACGAGGTCGGCGTCGCATGCGACACCAACCACATGTCCACGGTTTGCCTTGTCACTTTTCTGATATGAGCGAAAAATAAAAAAAATAGTAATTACATACGTGTAAAAAATTCTACCTAACTTCAGCACCTTGAATAATTTGAGAATTATGCGCCGTATGAATAATAATAAACATACAAATGTTGCATGATTTTTAAAGGAATATTACATAACACATATACCGTTTTGTAAGCGTGGAAGCGTTTCGGAGAATCTAAAATATTCTAAAATATTAACATAAAGTATGAAATATTTCGCGAAATGTTATTTTCGACTATCTCACTTTAATATTTTTACCGACGGAATAATAAAAAAATTCATCAAATTTATGCATCTTGCAATTATATAATCTCTTTTTTAAAACAACTGTGTTCCACATGTATAAACTTCATCTTTTTTTCATAACATTTTTCAATATATTCACGCAAACAGAATCTGAAAAAATATCTCAATAAAAAATACATGACGCAGAAGAAAAAAAAAGGAAAGAATACATAAATAAAACAAAAAAATTTAAAAAAAAAGGAAAGAAAAATAAAAATCAAAGCGGCAAAGCAATTTATGCCCGATTCCACCAACGTAGATTAACTTTAATCTCGGCTCACAATTTACTCTTTATCTTTTTCTAGTTCTAAGAATTAGAAAAAGATAAAGAGCAAGTTGAACCGAGATTAAAGTAAATCTATGTTGGCGGAATCGGGCATTAGTGTCATCATTTTTAATATCTAGCGAAAACAAGACTGCGGAGGACAACGAGCGTAGTATGCGTGAACCCCCCAGGGGGCCAGCTTCGTCTCGCCCAGCTCAGTCCAGCATCCATCCGAGGAAAGCAGTTACCTTAGAAAGTAATCGTTGACGAAGTCGGGATGCTCGTCGAGCCAAGCCTCCATACGGGCGTATTCCGGATCGTATACGGTCGAAGTCGACGTCGAATAATACGCCGCCGCCGCCGCTGCCGCCGCCGCCGCCGCTGCTGCCGTTTCCATCCCTGCACCTGTTGCAGCATACTCTGGCTCGCCACGCCGCTCTGGGCACCCTGTATCCCTTGTACGCAGGGGGCCGCCGTCTCCGCCGTCATCCTCGGCTCCTCGATGCTCCGCAAGTGCAGGCCTGTCATTTTTCGCGTTAATTACAAAAGCAGTTTCGAGCAGCGGTAAACGTTCGAGAGCGATCGAGTTAGGTAATCAACGCCTCTCAAACGATTTCAAACGATTCGCGCGCACGACTATCGAAGAAACTCGAGCTTTTACAATACTTTTTAAATTTCACGATCTTCACAATTACGATATTATTGTCTTTTAACAGGTCAACTTAAACTTGAATTTTTACCGGTTGATTTTAACGACTTGTCGCGAAGCCGTTTGTTTTCCCTTTGTGTATATAAATAATATTTGTTTGCGTCGTATGAGAAACAGACGAGGAATGTGGATAAAACATATATCTATTTTTATGTACATTAACTTTAATCCCGGTTTAAAAACTAGAAATAAATAGTTATCCTAAAATTAAATCTAAAATTAATCTAGATTAAAATTAACAGACACCGATAAAAATGAACGATATTTTATTCTCGATTTAATTCGCTTTTTATCTTTTCCAATTCTTGGAAATAGAACTTATTAAAGGAAAATTCATACATATTAAAGAAAACATATTAACATATTACAAAACATATTAAAGAAAAGTGAGAACTTATTAATATTAAAGAGAAAAATTATTAAGCGCTGGTAGAAATGAATAATAATGGATTTGTGATAAACAGAAAACAATCGCTAATGCATAATCATGATATTCTGTTTCAATTTGATGAGCACAATCTGCCTGCAAATCTAGTGCTCCGCTTTCAGAATTTCGGCGTACCTGATACGGTGCCCGTTTCAGAGAATTCTGTAACGATCATACGCGAAGATAAGAATCCAGAAAGAGAGAGAGAGAGAGAGATATGGAGTGAACATATTCAAGTTCCCATAGATATAATCTTTTCTCGGAAATCTGTCTCTTTCTTGGAAATCTTTCTAGACTACGAGCATCCTATCGAGAAATATCGCCAAATCTGATTGCGATAAAAGGTTTGTCAATTTACGCGCAATAAAAATCTGGTATCGAAATCTGATATCAAACTTTAGGTACAGATAGTGAACTCATTTTATAAAAAAAATAGAGATGTCCCAGTGGGAAAAAATACGTGAGATCACGGACTATTTGCTCGTGATCTTTCACGTAGCGATCCCACGAGCATGCACGACGGTCGAGCATGTCGGAGCGGATATTGCACATCAAAGGAAAACCGCGTAACGTCACCGCCACCCCGCATCTCCTCGCCCCGCCCCGTTCGCCACGGCTCCGCGCAAAGGTAACGGCGAACAAACCGCCGTTCGAGGAGAGCGTTCCATCGCGCAAATGGACCAAGCAACGAGGACGAATGAT